ATCCAAAATGCCTTCTTCCAGATGTTTCCTTTCAAATATGAATTTCAGGGTGTCTTAGGTTAACAGCTGCTGGTTGGGAGATTTTTACCAAACCAGAGGATATCTAGACCTTCCTTGGAGAAGTTTAGGTTTCCTGAAGGGACAGCAGATTCCCTCTTGGATTTGCTTAGGCTTTTTGCCAGGAAGCTGAGGCCTCCGTCTTTCTAGTTGATGGCTGCCTTGCCTGAAGCAATGAGAGTGTACGCTGAGCTCTGCTTTCTGACTCCAGCAGGACAGAGCTTCTCACCATCTGGAATATTCACTGTCTTTTCTCTGTCCACACTCCTCACCCAGGGAATGAATATGCTGGCACTGCCAGCTCTGCCCTGGAAAGAATAAGAGACGAAGATATACCTGATGGGTATTGCTTGCTGAGCAGGGGCTGGGGACACCAACTGTCTTGTAGGCTCTGTTTTATTGAGAAGTGTTCCAGATGATGCCCACTTGCTCCACAAGCTGTACAAGGGCTCCTCAGTGTGAGAAAGCTGCAAAACAAGGTGCTATGATGGTCTCCTGGAGGCTGAGTGACTCACTGTCATGCTGCAGGAGCAAGGAGAATTTCAGTCGTGTTGAAACTAGTAGCGGTTTAACTATTTCAGGGGAAAGGGAGCTAAACCCTCTTGTGTCGAACTAGAATCAGAATTCAAACTGACGAGTGCAGAAAGCAAGTTTTTGTGAAATGTAGGGGGTCAGCTTGCAGCCCAGTTCCCATCCTGTGTGACCTCCTGGCGTTCAGAGGAGGAACCTGGACGGTTGGACGTACCTGTGCATTCTTTTGAGACCAAGTCAGAGAAATTTTGTTTGGGAAGGGACCTCTGGAAGTTCCTTGTCCAATGTTCTCCTCTGAGCAGGCCTAGTCCCGTAATTAGATCAGTTTCCCCTGGGCTTTGACTAGTTGAGGGTTGTATACCCAAGGATGGAGATTCCACCACCTCTCTGATCCCCATCCAAGGGCTGTACCACTTCTCCATCAAGGAGGCTCCCCCTTGCCTCAGGCTGTTGGTGTTGCCCCTTCTGTGCACCTCTAAGGAAAGCCTGCTTTTGTCTTTAGAAACCCTTTCCCTTTAGGCAGCGCACGACCGACTGACTGCAATTAGATCCCTCTGCAGCATTCCCTTCTTGATGCTGAAAAAGCCCAGTTCCCTCTGTTTCTCCTCACAACTTATGTGTTCCAGCCTCCTGCCCATCCTGATGGCCCTGTACTGGACTCCCTGCAGCTTGGGAAGACCTCTCTTCTACTAGGGGGCATCAAGCTGGATGCAGCATCCAGCTGTGTGTTAGGAGGAGACCATTCCTGTAGCAGCACAACTGCTGCTTGTGAGACATCCCTCGTGAGCAGGGTGACTGGTGATAGCAAGAACACAGTGGTCAAGACTATGATTGTGTACAGCTGTGTTTTGGCACTGGGGATGGATCCAGCTCCTCCTCTGCTCTGCTCTGATTTCCTACTGGGTTTTTGCAAAATTCACATAGATTCGTGGTTTTAGGTATGGTCTCAGTAGGAGCTGATATTCAGCTTTTCCTCTCCTGCTGCTGGATCTGGCCACAATTTGTTGTTCAGTTCTTGAAACTTGAAGGAACTGGTGATGTTGGGTTGCTCAGTGACTCAAACATCAGGGTGGCTGTGGAGTCAGGTTCTTGCACACTCGCACCCAGGTGTGCTGGGATGTAAGCTCAGAGTTTGAAAAGTTGTCCCATGAGCAGCAGAGACTTTTTTGTCCTTCATCCCTACTGGGGATTTTGCTGCCCCAGCTCTACCACATGTCACAGCTACCTCTTCTCCAAGTGCTTCTGGTATCCCCTGTTTTTCCTTAGACCTGTCTGCAAATGCCCCAACTCTTCTTCATTCCTTGACTGTCATCCAGAGGAGAGCTCAGGGCTGAGAGAGCCTTTGCACACATGTGCAGCTTGATGATAAATTAGGGTTTGGGTCCTGCATGAAATTTCATTGAGGGTTAGCTAATGGCTTTAAGGTTTACCACAGGACTGACAGGCCACATAAAAATACAGCTTTCATTTAGGAACCAGCTGGAGCTGATTTGCTCCTCTCGTCTGCACAGTGTGAGTCTTGGATCTACCCCTGGGTGATTCACTGAGGTCTAAGTGTATGCACAGAAAGTATTTCTGTTGAGTTTATAGGAAATGGTCACTTGAGCTATATATAGTTCCTAACAAACAAACAAATAAAACCACAAACAAACAAACAAAAAAACCCACCCCCCCAAAAAAAAACAACCAACCAACCAAACAAATAACCAAAAAAAAACCCAAAAAACCCCACAGCTCTGGCATTTATCTTTAAAGTTATGCTACAAATAAAAGAAAAAAAAAAAAAAAAAAAAAAGGAAGAAATTGCAACAAGTGCAGAGGGGTTGGTTGACATTGGTTTGTTATTTTTAAATTACAAAAATAATAGCTCTGAACTTTGACTCAGGTTTATACTTAAGCTATTAAAAAAAAAATCTCATAAATCAAAATGCTGTGTGAGTCAAATAGGGACTGTTCTGAAGCCACGAGGTTAATTTCTGCCTCCACTGGTGCTTAAAAACAGTTTTTACCCTGACTAGACTTCTGCCTTCAAACTTGGCAGTTTTTCCAAGAATAATCAATATCTAAGTTGGTGACATTTGGCCACCTCCTTATGCAAAAAAAGAAGCCCCTTGGTCTCCTTTCAAATTTCAGCCCTCAGAAAGAGTTTTGCAGTAGATTTGAGGGTTGTCTAGGGCAGGGATGTTAGTTTTTTCAGTCATGGCTTTCATTATGGGCCGGGGTACTCAGGATTCCCATTCTCTGCCTTTTAGTGGTGGTTCAGTGATTATGTCCAGTATCGTACAGGATACTTTTCATTTTTGCTTACTTTCAGCATCCACATGTTTTCAGCAGATTCGGACCCTTCAGAAAGAAAGTATTCCATCCCCTTTGTAATCATAAATGTTGCCTTTTTAGTTTTGGGAGTTTTTTTGTTTTGTTTTGTTTTCCTACATTCCTGACAGGAACAGTCTTCCCTGTAGATGACCTACATCTATCTCCCATCCAATTTCATTTTTCTCCTTTAATGTTTTTTATGATCATCGTGGATTTTCACCTATGTGCTTCTCAGACTTACCAAGTGTAAGTGTTTGAGCTGTCTTCTCATGTGTTTGACAAGTTCTTTGACCAAGGAGACCTAATATCTTGCTCTCTTGGTAGTCTATATGAATTTCAATGTTTTCAGGTCTTAAAATTGTAATAGTGTTGGTCCTGTACAGTTTCTGCATATTACTTATGTATTCTTTTGTGATGCTTCCTTAGCTGATTGAACGAAAAGTGCTAAGTTTAATGAAAAATAGAGAAAAATCAAAGGCGCCGTCTTATTTGAGCATTGCAAATAGACACGACGGAGATTTGTGGTGAGTTATGGTTAACTCTTCCCTGACTGTTTAGCAGTTCATGGATTTAAAATTTGAACGTAACACTGCAGTTGTGCTGGAGGATCTCGTCATTTCGTCTGAGCTCGGCTGGGGGTAGGACCTGTGTCAGGCTGTGCTTGTACCCCAGCAGGAGCCAGGGAGAGCTGTTTGTGGCGGTGGTTGTTTCAGCACGCTGTGCAAATTAAAACAGTTGTGCTCAGGGAGAATTTACCTGCTTTCTTATTTTTGGCAGTACAAAGCCCTCTTGCCATTTATAGCAGATGGGCTCTTTTGCTTTTTCTCCCAGCACTCATTAGCAAGATAGGGGTAGGAGAGGGCTGGGAGGTAGAGATAAGGGAGAGCCAGCGAACGTACTGGTCCTGGAGGCCGTGCTGGAGGACACGGTGCTGAACAGCTCGTTCAACAGGCAGGGGAGCAGCACAGAATGTCCCATCAAGCAGTGCTCCTGATGTGCTCTCTGCGGGAGCTGTGCGAGGTGCCAGCACCATCCGGCTGCACCAGCAACACTGCGAGGGCACTGTCCCCTCCCAGCAGCTCTGACTGGGGTAGGTGGCAAACAAAATTCTCCCCACAGAGGTTTCAGCTCTGTTTCAGCAGGCTCTGCACCTGTCCTCAACCCTCAGGGCCTTTGCTATATGCAGCCCCGGCTTCATATCTCTGCAAGATGCTTTGAAACCTGAAGCGTTTTCCAGAAGCGTTGCCTGTGTGCACTGACGTCCGACGTCTGTCCTGCCTTTCGCCTCTTGGTGCTGACATCTCTGTCCTTCTGGTGGGAGACAGCAAGGTCAGCCCTGAGGGGGCTGCACTCTGGATAAGCCATGCTTGCAGACCAGCCTGGATTGCTGGGAAGGGACTGTGGCTGCCTCTGGGAGTAGTTGTCCTCACGTAGCCAAGACAGGGAGTGCCATGTGCATGGCAGGTGTAGGTATTTTAAGGTATTACAGGAAATTTAGCAGCCTGGGGTGGGCTATCCTCTGCCTTCCTGCCTACTCCTGGCTCCAGCTCCTTCCACAGCAAAAGGGTCAAAACTAAAAATCGCATATGAAATGCAAACTGGTTGTGGTTCGTGCACTTCAGTCTAAGGTTGCAGTGGCACAGCACATCCCCAGATCCGAATCCAGGCTGCTTTTCTAGGATCTCCCTCATCAGTGTTCATGGGCAACTGCAATAAAGGCTCTGCCCTCCTCTATGCCAGCAGGAAGGGCAGTCTTGCAGGGGATGAGCTACTGGATGTGGCTTGTGGGCTGACTGGCGTGGTTGCACGGCTGCTGCATGCCAGCCTTGCTGCTCAAGGAGCCTTGCACTGACTGCTGCAGGGTGTTGGTAAAGCACAGGCATGTGGGGGTCCCCACTGCCTCTTTTACCCAAACCCATGGGGCCCCACCACGTGTGGTCCCTCCTTCACCCTCCCACTGCCCTGGACTCCGGTGCCCAGAGGTCACTGCACGGAGCAAACCAGCCCAATGAAAAGCTGGGTTTCACCTTCTCAGCTCCCAAGCTCTGGGAGCTTCAGGGGCTGTTTCTCTCATCCAGGAGACACCTGGTGCTTTACCTCCTAAGTGGCGAGTGGCAGGAATGCAAGTGATGCAGGAATTGCCATCATGCCAGTGGGAAACCAAATGTCTGACCAGATGACAGCTCTAAATTTAAGGGCTTGCCATTGAGCAAGCACGTGTGTGTTACTGTGCCCTTTTGTGACCAAGCTAATTTTCCTATCTAGAACAGCAACTATGTTGTAACTTGTATAAGGAAACTTCTCCACTAATGAAGAACAATGATCATAAGAGCATAATCTGTCCTGAGAGGACAAGCAAAGCTAGAGACTTGGAGTAGGGCTCTGATGCTCCACGGAGCTGAAAAGGGCCCATTTATAGAAACTTGAAAGATGTTTGGCTCCTTAAAAAATGCACAGGCCTTGCTGTTATTTTAATGTAAATGCCATTCGAGAGAAGAGCAAAACTTTGGGAAAAGTCACTTTATAATATCTAGAGTTCAGTTTTCTCCACAAAAACTGAGCCAGAAAATGTAAATATACAGACAATACTATGGAACAGAAGGAGACTGTCAGCAAAAGAGCAGAGTTGGAAACACTTTTGTGTGTTGTATCAAGCGTGTTTCTAACCCACCTGAACGTATTAAACACAGTGACCCTTGCAGAAGGTCCTCTACAGTCTTTTTGCTTGCAGAGGTCCAGTTACATGTGTGTGATTGTGTGTGGCATTTTATACTGGGAGATGTGAACCAAACCCCTGGGTCAGCAGGGATTATCCACATGGGCCATTCAGTACATTAGTCCCACTTCTCTTCTTGCAGAGTTGGTTTAGAACACGCAGTAGCACACACAGGTCATCTGCTTAGCTGGCAGCTGCTCAAATGTGTTGTCTCAGGGAAGGTGGGTTTAACTGGCAGCCTCCTGGACGTGTGTGGATAATACTTCCTGATCTCCTTGTGGCTTTAAAACACGGGCAGAAGTTCTGTGCACTGCAGCCTCATGGAGGGTTGCAGGGCTCAGAGGTACTCAGAGGTGCTCCAAATCTGTTTTCCCATCTGGTGACAGTGTTATCTGGAGTGCCAAGTGCAGGGAGGTGTTACTGGGGGCTCGTAAGGACACAAGAACCGCAGGCTTTGGGTTTACTGATGATTTCTGGTTTATTGTTCAAGGAAATAAATGCCTAGGACACCTCATTCACATGTAGCATTGCTTGCAGAAAAAGGGCCCTGTAGCCAGGGCCCTGTACAAAGTTCTTCCCCAAAGTGCTGCCCCATAAGTCTGTGATGGGGCAATGAGCTGCTGGGAGTTGTGCCACTCCCATCACCAGGGACTGTTATGTGCATGTAGGATATGGGTGGGAGCCCTGAGCAATCTGGCCTGTCTTAGAAATCAGCCATGCTTTAGGCATAAATCTGCTGCAGCTCTGGGGTGTTCAGTGTTCCCCAGCCAGACAGGCTACAGTGTCATGTTTCACGTGTTCAGTCTTGTTTTCATTTCAGGTTCTGTTTCAGCGTAAAAGTGAGATCCACGAGACTCCTCCAAGATGTCCTACAGAAAGGAGCTAGAAAAGTACCGAGACCTGGATGAAGACAAGATCCTTGGAGCTCTGACAGAGGAGGAGCTCAGGAAGTTAGAGAATGAACTGGAAGAGCTGGATCCTGATGTAAGTAATTTTTGACCGAGATTTGCTGGGTGATAAATCTCCGTAGCTGTGGGGGAATGGGCTGCATTAGTAATCTCTATTTCAGTGGGATCCTTTGCAGATCCTTTGGGATCCTTGGTACTCAGTGCAAGAGGGGAAGAGACTGGCTGCAGGTGAGCAGAAGAAGTTTTTGCCACTGGAAGCACAGTCCAGATGTGTGTCTTTGTTTCTGTTTTCCTGCTCTTTCCCCAGTGTGTGTGCTCAGATGTGACAAGCACTGTGATTTGTAGCAACAATACAAGGCAGTGCTGGTGCAGGGCAGTAAACCTGCACAAAATGGATCTCTCTTTCTGATCAGGTCACCTTGGAGGGAATGCTTTGTGGGTTGTTGGGTTTTGGGGGTTTTGTAACAGACTTCAAACGGTCTGTATTTTCCTCCATTTAGGCAGAAAGCCAAATCCCAGAGTTTTGCAAAGTGGGACAATTTATTTTTAGCAACCTCCCAACATCAGCAGGAGCTGCATATATGCAAACATGGGGTCTGCTGGTGCCAAGCTGATGAAAGGTTTTTGGAGGCAGCATTGTCCCACGGCCCTAGCAGGGGATGTGCAGAGCCAACTGGCAGGCCTCAGGGTTATGGCAGTGTTATATGATGAGTTTGGGCACTGCCAAGTGAGAAATTGTTCCTGCAACATGCAGTTAGTGTTTCTGAAGTAAATGATGGGACGTGTAGATTGCATCATCAGTATTTTTAATTGCAACATAGGAAAATATTTAAGAGGTGGCAAGCTAGCTCCCAGGATTAAATGTCTGGGCTGATGGGCTGTCTCAGTTCCAGCTGCCTCAGAAGACACAGAGGCAGGCAGCATTCTGTGAAAGATGCAGAAAGGTAAAATAATTGTGGACAGCTATCAGTACAGGTGTAGTCTGAGAGCAGAAGTTAAAGCCTGAAGATTGCATGGTTACCTCTCATAGCATGAAGCCTGAGGAAGAAAGCTGTCCCCTACTCCTCCCTACTTGGGCATTCACACAGTTCTTCCTCTGTTGCCCTCCAAGGCTGCCTGGGTCTAATTGCCTCCTGTTAGTAATTTTCCTTCCCAGGCTTTTCACTGAAACAGATTTAAATTGTAATGGACTATACTTTTATCAGGCGGGCATAGAAAAATCAGTGCATTGTTCAACATCACCTTGAATGTCTTAAAAAGTAAATGTTGACTTCTATCCAGTAAAGCTTTAAAGAACATGCTTAGTGTCAAATCTGGGAATAGTCTTACTGCATTAAGGCTGTTCTATATTTAAATATAAGCAGGTGTTTACGTGCCGTATGTGTCAGGCACAAAGCAACTTCCCGTGGTGGTTATGTGACTGAATAGCAAGGAGGCAGTCTGAAAACAGGCTGAGGTTCACAGGTGTCTTGTTCTGCAACCGAGTGACCTTCTCTGTGAGACCCTGCCTGCAGTTTTGTGAGGCATCATGAAAGGTAGAAGGGAGCATCATGATTCTCTGGTCTGCTCTGTGAGAAATCATAAGATTTCACTGAGCTGATTCTTGTTGGGACGTATGGGGCGTGTGGGCACTTGAACAGACTCATATAGGGGGGAGAAGATGCCTGAGAGCCTCCAGAAGAAAGGGCTGGAGCTGCAGTTGCAGAGAACTTGGCAGCATTTGAAACTGGAGCAGGGAAGGAGCATCACATGTGTTGGATGATGTGGGAATTAGTGGGGCTGGATGGAGATAACCTTTTACACAAGGAGAAGCGAATTATCCAGCAATGTGGAAGAAAGGCAGTGCAGTGAGGGAAGTGGAGAGGGGAGAGTGTTTGATGGATGGGGATCATGGCCTGCAGAGGTAACCTGTGTTTCTCCCCTTCATGTCCAGAACGCCTTGCTGCCGGCAGGGTTGCGGCAGCGGGATCAGACGCAAAAGCCACCAACTGGCCCCTTCAAAAGGGAGGAACTCATGGCCCACCTAGAAAAGCAAGCAAAGGACATTAAAGACAGAGAAGACTTGGTTCCTTTCACGGGTGAAAAGAGAGGTATGGTCATCCTCTGCACCACGCGGGGTGTATCACGATGAAGGCACAGTGGGTGCACAGGAGAAGGGTTGTGTCTAATCTGTATTGCTAAAACTTCATTTTGACGCCACTGAGGTGGTGAATCTGCTCTCTGCTGTCTAATCCCTGAAAAACTGGGGTGTGCTCAAGAGGTCCCTGTGCCTGCTGATTTGGGTACTACCTGATATATTGATAAGTACTGGACAGAATCTGCAGCACTGTGCAGCCTCAGTCTGTCCCCATGCCACTGCAGCTGTATCAGGCTCTGGAAACAACACCATCTTCTATCCTCTCATCTTGTCTCCTCCTCTGCCCCATCCTCCTGTGAGCTCTGTGTGCTGTGCTCCATGTTGAACTTTTCCTTTCACACTCCATCCCAACACTCTGAGCCTCCCATCATACAGAAACTCCGCAGCTCTCCACAGCTGTGATGAGTCCCAACAGTTCCCTTCTAATCTCCATCACCTCTTAACAACTGCAGCTTTATTTCCCAGCCTCCTGCAGGTCACATTTGTGTCTTCCTGTACCATACCCTACAGCAGCAGCTGTGCTCCTGCTCTGCATGGCCCTGAGTTCTGTGAGCAAGGCTGCCTCTTCTCTTTCCTCTGCTTCTGGCATCTTTTCCTGTTCTCCTCGTACATGACCCACCATGTAAATAACTTTCCTGTTCCCATTAGCACTCTTAATATCATCTGACACGGGACATGGGCTGGCCAGTCCTTGCCTCTGGGTTTGATAAGCTTCTCAGCATCTCTCTACTGCTGTTGTGTCTCCCTCTCTACCGTGGTCCCCCTGCAGCAGATGATCTGGTTGGACACTGTTCACGTTAATGGTTGCCCTGTGTCAAACAAGAAGTGCATGAAAATGTAGACATACTGAGGAGGTTTTCCAACTGAGGTCTTTCCTGAAGGTATCTCCTTACAGGCTCACATGGCTCTCTTAGGAAGAGCTTGTGTTAAATCTGTTCAGGTAATAAAACCTGAGGTGGTGTTTTTAGACTAAAAAGAAGAAAAGAAAAATAAATTAAAATAGTAAATTGAGTGCAATCAGGAAGACCAGTTTAGCAATTTCAGACATTCCCTAGCCCAGAAGATAGAAGCAGTGCTCTGCAGGGGACAGAGGTATTTCAGGCATCTCAAGTCTTCAGCTTCTGGTCTGAACTCCTCATACTTCAGCCTGATATGATCTCAAATGCATTAAACATATTTTCACTTGTAACACGCTGTTGAGAGGAGACACTACTTGCATTGACTGTGAGCCAGAGATGGTAAATTACATATTCACAGCTGTGACAGAGCTGTAAATAAATCACCACATTTGGAGGGTGATTTACTAGTTTGTCCATGGGAGGTGCTCTCCCTGGCCGTGATGCTGGGCAGGGTAGGAGTTGGGCTGTTCATACATGCTGTATTATGGCATAAAACACTGTGTTAACATTCACCATTTAATTTAAAGTTCAGTCTTGTAACAAAGCATGGCTGAGACACGAAACTTTCTAGAAGTTAGAAATTAACCATTAGTGAATTAAAATTAACTTAGAATTAAACCACAGAAATTTTGTTGACAGTGAGGTGAAGAAAGGAGTTACTGCATTGACAGGAGAAATAAATTTGCCTAGTTTCTCCTGTTCCCTGCTGATGTTGCACAGACCAGACAGAATGTGCAGTCTCCCAAGCCATGCATTGGATGGGACAGGGTTTCCAGATCTCCACACCGAGCCAGTGCAGACATTTTGCTGCTGAGCACCCAGAAGATGCATGGCTCTGCAGGCACACATGACGCTCTGCCTATTTTTGTGAGAGCAGCTGTGTCCCAGGAGGCAGATTCCTGCCCTCTCTGTCAGGGTGGCAGTGTACAGGCAGGAGACGAGCTGTTGTGCAAAAGGCTGTTTATGGCAGCCTCCATTTCGTACCAGGGAGCCTGAGGTGCAGTTGCTTCTTCCTTGAGGCTAAATTTAGCCCCTTCTGTTTCTGCACACGCCTGAGCAGCAGGATCTTTGTTTCTCCTCTTTGGTGCTGCTGACTTTGGTTTCAGAGAGGGGACAAAAATAGTCCTGGTTGGTATGCCAGGCCAAGCATTTTGCACTTGCTATCTCTGCAGTGATCCTGGACTATTTTAGGGAGGGGACTGCTCCAGAATGCTCCAAGAGCCCTCCTCCTTCTACTCGAATCTCTGCAGCACTGGGTTCACCCAACAGTCTGCTCTCTACTGTGGTGTGTTAAAACACTGTTTTCTTTTGGGCAGCCACAGGTGGGTGAGATCTCAGACCTGACCTGTTCCACCTCTGCAAAGAGATCCGCTGCCCTTTAGCGGTGTGAGCGGTTCAGAGCTGGGAGCAGCCAAGCAGTGCCACCAACCCTGTCCACTGCCCCATGCCTGGGATGCAGCCAGCTCCAGCAGAGAAAGGGTCATGGCTTGCCTAGTGATCACCATGGGCAATGGAATGGGGGAGTGCCAGGGAGCCCACTGTATTCAGAGCTGGGCTGGAGCTGCACCACTCACCACACACCTTGTCCTTCTGGGCACCCCAGAAGTGGCACCACGCTTAGGAAAAGGCCAGGAGCAAGCAACTGAGATGCCAACTTTATGTTCCCAGGTTCCCAGGACCTCTTGATTTGCACCTTTTGAATTTGAACAGACCTTTGAAAGGTCTGTTCCTTGGCCTTTTGCTGTCCTGGGAGATAAGGTGCAGAGGTCTCCATCTGGCATGCCCTTTGCAGCAAGGCTGAGCTAAACCAGCTGCCCCAAGCCTGATCCTCCTTGCATCCTATGTGTTCACTGAACTGCTATCTCTGCCTGCTGCCAGATTCCTCCACCACCTCCTTTCCACTCTCTTTTGACTGATGTGCCATTTACCCTGCCCATATGCACTTGGAGTTAGCAGCAGGAACTGTCTCGGTGGCAGGACTGATCCCGCACAGTGTTGGGTCCAGGCCACCGGCCTCTCTTTGTCCAATTGAGAGCTGGCAAACCCTCACCCCTTTTGTGCAGCCTTCAAAGAAGTGAAGTCCTGCAGGGCCCTGCTGTGTGTGGCTTTGGGTGCTATGCCATGAACAGCCACAATCCCGGACAAAAGTACTGCTTGGCTTCTGTAGACACAGCCTGGTGAAAGGGCCCAGCTCCACAGCTGGAGGTGTCTGCAGGTGCCTCCTGGCCCACATCACAGCAGCACTCAGACCAAGCTGGGAAGGGATTCAGTGTATCCTCTTACTTTTCTCTTCGTTCTTGTGCCCCTTCTGTCCTTTCCACTGCGGGTTCTAACTCAAACCATGGAAATGTGTCTGCACAGCCAGCTGTGAAATAGGTGCTGTAACTACACTGAGAGTGACTCACTTTGCATTTATAGGAAAAGCTTGGATCCCCAAGCAGAAGCCAATGGATCCTGTTTTGGAAAGTGTGACTCTGGAGCCGGAACTGGAGGAAGCCCTTGCTAATGCCTCTGATGCAGAGCTCTGTGACATTGCTGGTAAAATAGTTTCACAATAATTGTGTGTTCAAGTAGTCAGCTACTGGGGGGTTTTATTCGTTCTTTTGTGGGAAAGGAGCTATTGTATTTTTTGCTGTTTATCTGAATGCTCTCAGTTCTGATAGAACTTATTTCTTTGTTAAAAAGAGTTACTCTCAGCCCATGTGATTTAATCAGGAGCATGGACCAAAGCTGAGGAGGGAGAAGAAGGATTTATCGAGGGAACAGTGTGTGCTGTTTGATATCTTCTTGTCTCTGCCACTGACTATACCTTCAAGAGCAAAGCTTTCTTCAAACCAAACCTTAGGAAACAGTCAAGCTGATGTAGATAGAATGTGGATTTCTTGTGGGACCTACTAAAGGAGCTGTCAGGTGAGAGAAGTCTTTCACAGGGCACTCAGGGCTGCTGTCTGTTAAAGAGCTTTTTCAACGCATTTTTAAAGCTATGGATTTCTTGTGATTTGTGCAGCCAGTCAGTCAAATGACAATATTGGTCTCTTGCTGAGGTCCATAGCATGGACTTAGCTCTGTGACTGGGACAGGACATGCCTCAGCCAAAGGAGCATATGGACACCCCATGGTGTTTTACGGAGCTCACATGTGCCCTACTGCTCTAGCAGTCAATGAACCTTTCAAGGATACTGTCTTCTTTCTTCTTCCAGTTTTGTCTCTTTCAGACTTCCATATTCCCTAGAAGTGTCCTCCTCTCCAGAAGTCTGTAAGAAAGTCTGTAGAATAAGTACATCCACTAGACATCTTCTGCATAATAATAATACAGTATTTCACCTTAGAAATGTGTTTCTGCGTTAGGGCTTCCAACATATGCATCCTGTCCAAGTATTGATTGCATCTCTGGATTTTGCTTTTTTACTATTGTCCTAGCGTCCTAAAAAGCCCTGTCTTATAAAATCCGCCTTTCTCCGTGTCTGTGCAGCAATTAGTTTTCCAGGGAAATGCTGTTCAGGGTAGCTTGTTCAGCAATTGCTGGGAGAATACACTTGAAGTGGCAGCAGGAGTAGTGATGTGATACAAGCTGTCCTGAAATCTCAATATTGACAGGGACAGCCTTGCTCCTGCCTGTTTAGCAGGGCTCATTGTCAGCTGTGATGTATTGGATCCCTTCCTTGGCAAGGCCAGGAGGGCAGCTCCCAAGTCATCCTGGAAGGGCTCCCCTGCCTTTGGTCAGCTGAGAGAGACAGAAATGGGATGCCTTTGTTCTGCTTGAGTTCCTTTGGAGAATACACAGCAAGCACCAGACTTGGAAACAGCGGGTCCCTCTTGTTGACCAGCACAAACTCTAGCCCTCAAAGCCCCTGAGAGGTCATGACAGCAGGTCCTTGCCTCTCTGCAGCCCAGATACTCATGCTCCTGGTGGATGGAGAGATTTCATTGCCTGAATAAGCTGTGTTTTGGGGGGTATGTGTGTCCCCAAGGTGCTGAGCCTGCAAATTACAGGGCCAGCTAAAATACAAACAAGCAAACTCAAAGTGCCCAGCCTTACTCAGAGTTTCAAATGGAGACTGCTTGGCTCTGTGAGATCCAGCTGGGGATGTGCTGTGGCCACGGGGAAATCCATGACACACTTTGCTGCAGGGTGTCCTGCCTGTGCAACCCAGACCTGGAGTCACGATGAGCTGTCACCACAACAGATGCTATTCAGGACCTGGGCTTCGAGGGTAGCTTTGTCCTGCACCTTCCAGCACTTCTTGGCCAAAGCAACAAGAAAATGGTAACAGACTAGTGCCAACCAAGCCTAAGAGGAGCAGCTCATGGGAAAGCAACGTGCCTTTGTTGGTGGCATACTTGAATTTTAGGGAGAAATTTATTATATTGATGGCTGTGTCTGTCCAGAGCTCAAGATTTGTTCAACATGTGTTCGTTTTAACAAACATTCATGTCTCTATATTTTTCTTTAGAAAATCATATAGCTATTAAAAGAAAAAAAAAAGTTGATTAAAAAGTCAGTTTATTTTCAAACTTGATCTCTCTGTGAGTAGCAGGCTTCTGGGTTATTACAGTGTTTGAGTTTTGTTCACACCATCACTCTCTACGTTTCAACCAAGGCAGCAGAGCTTTGGCTTTCCACAAGGTCAACTTCCAAGTGTACAAAGATCAACACCTCAACCCCAGGCTTGTTTTTGGGTAAAAACATGCTGAGCATTGCCACGCTTCAGGTGACAGTCACCTCATATGTTGCTGCCTTGGCATCGGTCTGGCTCTGTGTGGGGCACAGCCCATTTCACAAACTGGGTGACAAAAATGGGCAGGCTCCTGCTGGACCTGCTTGCATTAAAGCCTACCCATCACATTTTTTTGAGTGCTGTACTGTCTTCTCCTCGCTGTTTCTGTGTGTTACCAAGTCAGGTAGGCTACTGGGAAGCCTTGACTGTTTGTCTGTTTGTTGTCCACAAGATGATGTTCCTTTTCTCCTGTGAATCATGCTACATTGGAATAAACAAGGGAGCACATTTGAGCCCTGTTGTGTATTAAGGGGGGCTTCATCCCACCTTTGCATATTGTTCCAAGCTTGCACAGGGAAAGGTAGTACGCTACTCCCATCCCAGACAGCATCTATGTGTCTTTTCCTGGCTTTGGAGCCTGCAATAAGTCATGTTCTCCTTTTCTTTTTCCATAGCCATCCTTGGCATGCACACCTTGATGAGTAACCAGCAGTACTATGAGGCACTGGGGAGCAGCACCATCGTGAACAAAGAGGGGCTCAACAGTAAGTGATTTAGAGCGTTAGCAGGCTGCAGCAGTTGGCTTTGAAGCTGCTAGCAGAGGCAAAGTGGGAATTGTTTTTAGGCTGAAGGTTAGAGCCATGAATGTCAGAGCAGCCTGTGACTGCTGGGGCCACCTCTAGTGCATCCTTGCCTTGTGACAGGCAGCGTGGTCTCAGCCCACTTCCCTGGTGCCACCTGGGAGCTAGCACAGCCCCTGGAACAGCCCCATGGAAGTGGTGTGTCTTTCTTCTGTCACCCAGATTTGGACCTTGAAAGCACATAGCAGCAGGTACTGGCTGTCCTGTGCTGGTTCCCCCATACTGGAGGGGCCTTTCATCTCTTGTCTGTTTGTCAGGTCATTCTTCCATCTCCCATACTTCCATCTCTGTTTCTGGAAGAGGAGGAACACATCCAAAGAAAAGATACTGCTACTCAAGGTGGTTTTGGTTTCATATGTGTTGCTTTTCACTTGCAGGTGTGATTAAGCCCACACAGTACAAACCAGTTCCTGATGAGGAACCAAACTCAACAGACGTGGAGGAAACTCTGAAACGAATACAGAGCAATGATCCTGATCTTGAGGAAGTCAACCTTAACAATATTATGGTATTTGCTCCTTTCTACCCTCCTCTCTTAATAACAGGCTGGAACATTTGAACAGAGAAGGCAGAGACCAAGGCTGTTTTGCTGCACAGAGCAGTACCATAACAGAATGTAGCCCAACAAAATACACCAGTGCTTCCCATCCCCACTGTGGGCAACAGGGATTGTTACCTGGGACAAAGGCATGGTGTTGGTAGCAAAAGGACTCCTCTAAGTGCCTGGAAGAATGGAGCTGTGTTGAGGGTAATTTGGGGAGACCCCAACCCCAGGCTGTCTGGTTAAAGGTATTCTAGGTTTCTTTGATGATTCAATCAGGCATATTTGGTGGAGCGGCTGTTTACGTGTATTATAAAATGGTGGGGGGATAAAAGGCTTCTTAATCCTGACACTTGCCATGAAAATATGAAGAACCCCCCCTTCTTGCAGGTTGCCCTGTCCATCTCACACTCACCCCTTCTGTGGAGCTCTTTTACTTTTTGTAGAAAGCAAATCAGGACACAGCACCACTTCTTATGTTGCCTTTAGGACACATACACATACCGAAAAAATAACAGTTTCTGTTCCGTGAGGCCTGTTGAATGATGGCATAGCCAAACAGCAAGAATATGGTTAACTGCATGTGCACATTAAAGACTTTTTTGCCATGCTACCTGCACCTTTCCGTAACAAAAATATTTTTACTTTCATGTATTTCATTCTGGCTAGTGACCCTGTCCCTTGAGGACACAAGGCTGAGGGTCTGGCAGGCAGGCAGGCACTATTATTGTGTGTTGAACTCACGACTTTGGGACATGGTTTGGAGAACAAAGGAGTGACAGTGGAGACTGTAAGCTGTTGGGTTCTGTGTTATGGCTTTGCAGATGAACTTTTGAGTACTTTTGGTGATTCCACATGGTGGGATCCAAATGGTGTGGCAAGAAGTCCAAGGTGAGGATACTACTTACAATGTTAGGTGAAAATTTGTGCATTTGGAAAGGGTATCTACAGTGCTTGGTAAGTGAAAAATACTCATTTTGAAGGAACTCAGAATAAGCAGCATGGATTTTTTTTTTTCAGTCTGATGAGACCTAGAACGACAAATGTTAGCCTGAAAGATGCTGTATAAAATACTCAGAGGTGTCTGATTTGTGTTAACAAGCAGATCCTTTCAGGCCTTTCTAGATCAGGTCCTGTAGGTGGAAATTTTCTGAACAAAACGTGAATGTTACTCAGATCTGTCATCGTACCAGGGAGCACAGGAGCAGTACTCTGTGGGCTCACAGATCCTGGTTACCTTCCCACAACACCTGCGTTCCTACATTGCTGAGTTTCTGGGCAATTAAATCAAACAATCAAACAGCAGAGATGTGGCTTCAAATCAAGGCAGGGAGCTTTTAGCAGAGTACGACATAGGATGGAGGCACTGCCATGCTCCTCAGGCCATGCTGATTAAGCAAAAGAACTTGTTAAAACCCTTTTCAATGCCTTCCTGAATTACTTCGCTGCATTTGGTGATTTGACCTTGATGGGAAATTAGGAGTATCTTTTAAATGTGTTGCGTATTCCTTCATACAGATGATGGCCTAACACACGCTGCCTGCATTTCTTTTCACAGAATATTCCCATCCCGACTTTAAAGGCTTTTGCGGAAGCGCTCAAGAACAACACGTATGTGAAGAAGTTCAGTATAGTTGGGACACGGAGCAACGATCCCGTTGCCTTTGTAAGTACTGTGGGCTCATCATCCTAATGTTGTGACAGGAGCTGTTCTCAGGCAAGGTGTTCTTGGCATGACTGACTGACTGACTGGTTCTGCACCTTATGTCATGTTTGGCATGTTCCACATCTCTGGCGTTTGGTGCAGGTGCTTCAGTTTTGGGAGCACTAGTGGAAGTCAGCAACTGACAGGCATTGGTTCCTTCACTTCCTTTTTCAGCTACAGAGCCTTCAGGGTACAATCCTTTAACCCCACTCAGTCTCATATTTGTCCTCAAGGATCTCCCAGAAAAGGAGCATGGGACAAGAACTGGCTCCCTGGTGGCATTTTCTAAAAGCAGGTTGTCTCTCTCTGGAGGTTCCTTTCTGTTGGCACAAGGATGTGTGCTGCTGTGTGCACACCTCTTCCTCCCCTCGCACACGTCTGCTCCAGCTCTCTTTCCTATATTCCTTTGTGCAGACGTGTGCAGAAGGACTCCTATGTGTGGCCTCTGTAGGTGATAATGGGTCTTTCCGGCTGTTGTGCATGATCCTAAGTATCAGTGGGCATGCAGAGAGGTGCGGAACATTCTGCCTGGCCCTCATGCTACCTTCCAGGCTGCATCTTTGCATACTTCTCCAGCACCGTGGCAGCTAATTTTTGCTCCTGTTCACCCAGGTCACCCCTACCTACCTCCACACAGACTTGTGCACACCAGTTTCGTGTTACAAAAAAACCCTTTTTGGAGGGTGAATATTGCCCTCAGATTATTTCAAGCACTCTGGACTGAGGAGGAAGCCTGTGCAGGCAGCACTGGTGCTATGCGAGGGCTCCAGGGACATTGTGCACGGCCAGGGTAGTTGTGGGGCCAAGTGCTGTGGGTGCAGGTCAGCCCTGCCACTTGGGCATCACCTTCTGTTCCTTCTCTTTTGTGACACAGATGAATATTCCCATACAGTTTGTACAATACGAGATCATCTGATCGGGTCAGGGGGGTTGGGAGTGTTCCAGCCCACCTGTGGTCTTACCTGCTGAGGGAAGCAAAAGTCATTAATATGGTTATGCTGCCACTTGGGAGGACACCTTGGATGTGGAGAACCCCTTGTTCAAGACAGACGCTCCTCTCTCTGCCTCCTATAATGGGGAGCATCTCAGCCCCGTGCAGTGCAGGCAGAGACCCAATCAGGTTTTGCTGTGGCCTCCAGCATGCTCACGTTCAAGAATCCCCCTGCAGCGGTGAGGCAGCCCCTTCACTCTGCACAGAGCAATTCCATCTGGTGGCAGTGAAACTGCTCCACATGCAGGACCCTCCTGGAGGCCAGGGGAGATGAACCCCCACTGCCCTGGGGTGCTCTGCCCCTGCCTGTATGACTGCCAGTTCTTCCTGCCCACCTCTGCCCACAGGCCCTGGCAGAAATGCTGAAGGTCAACAACACGCTGAAGAGCCTGAACGTGGAATCAAACTTCATCTCTGGGTCAGGGATCCTGGCTATTGTCGAGGTGCTCCAGGGCAACACATCGCTGGTAGAGCTGCGCATCGACAACCAGGTAAAGGGAGTGACAGCTCTGGGCAAGGGAGCATGCCCTGGCTGTGGGGAACCGAGTGGCTGGTCAGGGTGGAGGTTGGCAGCTCTCAGCCCCATTTCTGCTGCAGTTTCCTAAAATGCAATGGAAAGTGAAGGAGACCTGTACAGCGTGCAGATGCTGTGGCAAGTTTAGTTCCCTGAGAAACCCAGAGGTTGAAGCAGCTGAGCTATGGGGAGCTCAGGGACAGATGACTGGGAGTTCAAAATCCTAGTTTCTCCAGACGCCTCTTAGCTGTTAATTTGCCCAAGAAATAAAGTCTTTGGGCAAACAAACTTGTGGGAATGTCTGCTGGAGCAGCTGGAGCCACTCAGTTGTACCAGAAACAGGCCAGTGGTTTGTTTTACCAGCTCCAAGTCAGAAATGTCAAACGAACCAACAGCTCCAGAGAAGAAGGGAAGAGGTGGACATGACAGATCTAAGTGCTCACTCTGAATCACCATCTGACATGATTTTCTGTTGATTTTCTGTTTTCTATTTTCAAAAGAGCCAGCCCTTGGGCAACAAAGTAGAAATGGAAATCGCAAATATGTTGGAAAAAAACACCTCCCTGCTGAAGTTTGGGTACCATTTCACTCAGCAAGGTCCCCGGCTTCGTGCCTCCAACGCTATGATGAATAACAACGACCTAGGTGAGTCAGGCTGGCTGCAAGCCAGGAAGTATGGGAAGGCCCTGTGCACAATTTCTGGTGGGATTAGGGTAGAACTGCCCATGGGAAAGCTCCGGTAGATGTGTATGAATTAGAATCCACCTCCTGAAGGGCCTGACGATGATTTGCCCTTCAAGGAGGGAGGCAGCCTTCACCACCTGGTCCCTCAATGCAGCTGCTGTCGGGCAGGCAATGGGTTGTGCTCCAAACCTGGAGACACTGGGCAGCTAAAACTCCAAGAAGAGGTAAGGATTTTTGCAGTGGCGGTGGGTGTTGTTGGAAAGGAGCGAGAGCTGCTGATGCGGTTCGGTACAGCTTGTGCTACAGCATATGGCACATGGGTTATGAGCTGCCGGCGCTTGTGATTCCTGCCAACTGCTTGTCTTCCTCCAGCTTCATTCCCACTTTAACAAGGAGATGAAAAGTAGCAGAGTTGAACTTGGACAGCAGTAGGATTTGGCCCATCCCCTTCAGTGAAACAAGCTGGAACTGTTTCTAGGGAGATGTGGGAAGCCACGTGGCTGAGTTATCTTTATACTCTCAATGAAGTGATCAGAAGTGCTTGTGAAGCAAAATGTGGGCAAGCCTGCAGACTGCCATTTCAGAGCTTTTGCAGTGCTTGGCTACAGGCTGCTGTGGAGCTCTGGAGATCAGGCCAGCAGAGTAGCACTGGGCAGAGCTAACACACCCATCACGCTGTACTCAGAGGCTGTCATATTGGGGCAGATGATAAATATGTGGTGTTTTAAACACAAATAATGCAAATAAACCTTGTGTCAGCTGGTCCTCTGCTCCTAGGAAGCACATTTAAGCAGAGGTATGTGCCAGTTCTTCAGGGATCACACAAAATACTCAATCTCACGGATCACTGCGTATTTATTCTGCCTGTGGCTGCATTCCTGGTCACTAGAGAGCTGCACTGGGAAAGGCTTGCTATTTCCTGTCCTTTGGAACAGAGCAAGATTTTGAATGACTCTGCAGCACCTGGCATTCAAAGTAACCAGCTGAAAGATTTAAATCTAGTATTTTAATTGTTCCTGTTGTTAAGGAGATGAATTCACACCTTGCCTTCCATGTTGTGCATTTTGCCTCTTTGACCATTAAGAACTGCATTTTTGGTCTGAATCGGTTCTTGTTTGCAGCTCATATTCATCGGTCTGATGGTCTCTGGCAATAGCATCTCAGCTCTACAACTGGACGATGTATAAGTACAGAAAAACTTTATTTTCCTCCCTGTCAGCAATAGCTCTCTCCTTGTGCTCCACTCCAATACTTTTGCTTATCATCAGCTGATGCCACCAGAACGTGGTTTTGGTCCTGTAGCTTCTGTTCTCTAAGATACTCTGTATGAACCAACCATGAAGGCTTTTACATTCACCCTCATGAGCTAACTTTTGCATCCTCTTTATAAATTTTTTTGTTGTTTTTCTTTGCACACATTTCTCAAAAAGTCGTGAATGTAGCTGTCAGAGGTGTGAATCAGCTTTAAGGCTAGATATGAGGCTGCTTTGACTGTGTTAACTGTGATCAGAGGACTGGAGCCTAGAGGCTCAGGATAAGAATTTTTTTTTTTTTTTTAAATTTTTATTTTTTTTAATTTTTATTTTTTTAATTTTTAAAAGGCAAGTGAGGAAAAACTAGCAAAGGAAAAACTGTGGCATGCATCTCCCGCTGTTTCTACATCAATTAGCATCTGATGATGCACTGGCCAAAATCTAGTTACATAGACAAACTATGTGAAATACAACTGACTGTAGAATAAGGGAGGTAAGGCTGCAAGTAGCTTCTCACCTTAAAAACCCATAGGGAGAGAAACCTCATCTTACCTTCCTTGGTTTTAAACTATGTAAGGCTGTGCCTGCTGCTTAAAGCAGGTATTCAGAAGCTGAATATCCTGTTTCTCTCCTGTCAGAAAGTACATCTCTCAGCTCCTCTCCACAGCAGTAAAGCCAAGCCTGCCATCCACATTTTCCCATTGCCATGACCGACTCCTCTTTCTTTTCTTTTTCAGTGAGGAAGAGAAGACTTGCAGAATTGAATGGGCCTATTTTTCCCAAGTGCAGAACTGGAGTGTAGTTCCTGGCTATGGAGGTCATTCCCGGTGATCTGTGCTACACTGTGGAAATCTAAAGGCAATAAGTGCCTTGACAGAGTATTTGTGGTGCCTCGGTTCTGTTTTATGCACTAACAGTTTAAATTAACTAGTGGCTATAGTTTTTATGAAGATTTTATCCAGTAGGACTGGTGATGTTTTCTGTAGAGTTGGAAACTATTCAAGCCAATAACAACCTGTCAGTTTTATGCAATCTCAGTTTAGAGCACATCCCAGTGTAAAAGTGACTTTAATTAACCTGGGACTTAATTTTATATAAACTTCCTGCACGGTGTTTCATAAAGTTAGGATGTGGTATGCATGAGTGAAAGATACAATTGTTTCACACAAATTATAGAAGTATTAAAAAAATACTTTATTTTTTTCCAAGTTGATCTCAAGTAACTATAGAGGAGCAACTGTTTAACAAGCACTTCTACCGTCTGGAAACATGGCTAATTTCAAGAATTGTGAGCTACCATTTTTTACCGACATTTGCTGAATCATTTAATTGGAGATGCTGTTTCAAATGCATCCCCGTGTTTCTTAGAAAAAAACCTGATCTCCACCCCCGGCATAAATGGAACTTAAGGCCACCAATTATAAAACAGAGTCTCAAAAATCAAGTGGTTTAGGACGGGTCAATATCCTTCAATGCACATCTGAAGAAAACAGTTACTTTTAGAGATGTGATGCAATTTCTAACCCCAAAGAGATGGCCAAACTAATCAGCAAATGAGAGCCTTCTCTTTTAATTCCCACTCCTTTCAGCTTCTTTATGTTAAAAGTGTTTGTCCAGATATTCACTGGAAACAAGCCAAATTCTCTCTTCGCTGTTTTGTCTAGATGACCATGTCCACTAATTAAATTCTGTTCTGCTAGGAATTGTTTCTTTTTACTGCTGTCCCTTACGTCCACATAAATGCAAGAATAAATGTTGTGCCCTAGAAAGGCTGTGAAGTGAAATACCCGCAACTCTGAACTTGCACTGCACACGGTCTGATAGCTTTTTGTCAGCCTAAACCCATCATCCAGCCTGGGAGGAATTCCCCACAGGCCTGTGTGCAGCTCCCAGACATGCAGTGGACTGGACCCAGCACCATCACATTTGAAATTCCCACTGTTAACGTGGGTGGGATCCTGCTTGCTAGGAAGAGTTTCCTGGAAGAAGTGCTGCTGTACTTAAGCCTTAATCTTGGCCAGATGACACGTCCCAGAAAATGCTCTCTCTTGATAGAAATCTCCCTTTAAATGTCTGTTAAGAGTGGAGTTTTTCAGCCTTTTACACATATTCTGGCAAAAGTCCCACAGACTTCTTCAGAGCTTGTGTGCAAACAAACACCACCAATGGTTTAGCTCTGACCAGCAAAGCAGAGAAACACTATTCAGCAATGTGGGAAACGCATCCATTGCTCTTCAAATCTTAACAAATGTGCCAGTGGTGTCATATAAAGTGCTCCACTACAGCTTCTTTCCCCCCCTGTGCAAGTTCTGTATCAGAAAATGAAGAGACTACAGAAGAAAAACACTTGAAAGCATAACAAAATGAAGAAACTGGCAGACAGCCACTTTCTTCCATGTGCGCTGCAAAGACTTCAAAACGGCCAACTAAATCATCAAATCAGAACCACACAGTTTCAGCTGAGCCATCCACTCAAATTTGCATGGTACAGGCTCAGATTCAGAAGAACATATGTATATCTTATCCTGGAAAATCCTGATGGTGCTAAGAAACCCAGACATGCAAGGGGATGCATCTGCAGAATAGGTAGCACTACCATGGATATTACTACAGCATCTTTCGCTACATGAAAAATAAACCCCAGCCCCTAAAAAAGGAAAGGAAAAAAAAAAGACAAGAACTTTGTCCTGTGTTTCACTATAGCAGCAGCCATGCAGCCCAAAGGTATATAAAGCTGGCAGGATCATTCCAGGTTCCTCAGCTGATCCTCACAGGGCCGCTTTGCTGCAAGATACATCCGACAGCCAAGCGCTGTGCAGCAGAGACAGACAGTGCTGAGTCATCAGGCCTCGTGGTGAAAGGTGTTAAGCTGTGCAGCAAGGGAGCTACAAAATGGTAGTATTTAGGAGCAAATGCATCACCATTTGTCCCAGCAGCTCTCTGGGAACAGGATGAAAAAAAGCCATTTGGTGACTGCAGCATCTGGCGGTCAACAGCCTCTCCTCCTCAAAAGTCTTCCCTCTCCTGGAGCTAATGTGCTTTCTCTCAGGCATTACCACTGAGATGCCTGGATCCTACCACAAAGTATTTCACATGGCAAGTCCTTAATAATCCAACAAAATTAATCCAGAAAACAGGATACAGAGCTGCTTATGGGCTAACTTGCAAGAAGGAGGCTCTTAACCCTCTCTCCACTCTGCAGCAGAGGGAACGTGACTTTATGGGACTCCATCTGTACATCTCAAACACTTCTCCTTCCTTGCCTTAGTGCAGCAAGAACCAGAAGAGGCCTCATGGCTCCCCTCTGCCTTTGAGGTAGAATCTGCAGCTGCCACGAGCTCCCAGGAGAATTGTACCTTGTAGCCAGGTCTATCACGTGGCAGACTATCCAGGCTTCAGCATTTACCTCGGCAGAATTAAGCACCTCCAACACAACAGGTGAAGTGTATTTGTGCAGTACTTAAAAAAAAAATCTAATGGAAGCACTAAAGGTTATTTTATCATCATGGATGTTTCAAAAGTTTACGTACAAAGTCTAGTTGTTGCCATCCTGTACTGGTGATATTGAAACAGCCTTACAAACACACTGATTACAGTGTTCCAGACCTGCTGACAGACGGAATTACAAAACTGTGTTTCTTTTTAGCCTAACACCAGAAGAGCATACCATGCAAGCTGGAACAATCCCCATCAGTGTTCTAGACCAGACCTGCAAGTACAGCTTGCATGCTTCTCCACAAATACTCCAAGTCCTCAAAACCACAGAGGTTGAATGGTCAGCAAAGATTGGAAGGCAAGCAGTCAGGGAAACATTTGTACTGCTTAGACTTCTGCTGAAGGTGTCTACTGCTGGGAATTCTCATAGATTTACTATTAGACACTATCCTAGATTCTCAAAAGAAATATTCGTAAGATTCAAAGTTTTGCCTCATTAATGGAATTGCCAAAAAGACAGTTGCTGAACCATTATTTCACAGTGGCAATACTGGAAGCAAGAGGAAATGCTTGCCATGGCTTTAATGGAACCAATGTCCATATATTTAAGTTGCTAGTCAAGCCAACTTGAGGCCTTGCTGAATTAATAGCACCATGGGAGAAGTCACAATCTGTATGAAAATAACATAGCCCTAGCTGTTATTAAGCAACTGCAGAACTGTGAACTGTTTTCTTGCTTTTAAAAGCAGTTGCCAGCTCAAAAAAAACCCCAGTGACTAACTGCTGTTTAGTTCTCAGAATGACAGTATGTTTCAAAGACATTTTTCAGTCAAGATGCATCTACACTATTAATAAATCCTTTCTGTACATTGTACAGCATCAGGCACACAAGCAGCATGTGGGAAAGTATTTTGAGCTCATCTGCTGTAGGTTGTTTCAAATTCAAAGACAATTTCTCCACTAACAGGTGCTGGAAATTCCACAAATATCTTGCAGCTTTTAAAAAAACTCAACCCATGTTTAAAAAGGACAAATGCTCCCCAGATCTTGAATTATTTAACCTGGATAAAGGATCTTGCAATCTCCTTATAGCTGTTGCTGACATTTATGCACACATGCATCACTTCCAGTGCCATAATGCCGGTATTTTGACAGTCTCTGTGCTTCCCTTTTTGTGTGCTTGTTTCAAAATGCTTCAAGCTGTCAGGTTTTTTTTCAGTGCAAGCAGAGCTGAGCCCTGGATATTTCATATACTGACAAGCTGAAGGAAACAAAAGTCCGCAGGGAGACTGAGCATTGGAATGAGGATGGTTTTTGCTGTTCGTCCTACAGGTCACACAACTATGGCTGGGCAGACTACCTCTGGGCCTTTGCTCCAGTTACAAGAGGAGCGTCCTTATGCTGCCTTCAGCCAGTTTTACACAAGAGTTAAGTCGGTGACTTCAGGTAACTACCTCTTGCTTCTCACTGGTATAAAGTAAGAGATGCAAGAGGTGGCATGCACATGGAAAGTATCTTCAGCTCTAACCTAGTCACGTACCCACACCAAATCTGCTGTTTGCACACCCTACTACCAGCTATTGGAGCAAATGCATGATCATTGGAGAGGTCAGACAGATTGATCTCCATGCAGGAAGAAAAGAACAGAATTGTTCTTATGTCCCTTAAGTTTCTTTCGAATTGTGAGCAGCTCTGTCACACCGCAGATACTCTGCTCCGAAATCCCCATGGTAAAGGCCACACTACAAGACTGTCCCCAGGGAGAGGAATCCTGCAGTGCTGGTGACGTGTTGGGCACTCTGGTAATTTACAGGCAAGTAATGGATGGTTTTCAGGGTATACTCTAGGTTTAAAGGCAGCATATGAGCAAGACTTTCCAAGCCAACACATTTTCATGATTTCCAAACCTAACTGATTAACAGGTAGGGATCTGGTTATAGAAGCCCTTCACATTAGCACGTGTCAGATCAGCCAGTGAAACAGCTTAATCTTTTCCTGTGTCCAGCATCCTTTGTGAAACACGTTCAATAGGCACCCTTGGCCGTCTCCTTGTGCATTCACATTCCTCCTTAAGCGTCTGTCCTGCAGCCCTTGAAGTCACCTTGAGCTCCTTCTCTTGACAAACAGGACAGCAAGCTGTAAGACCTTTGTTGCAACAACTTGGACACGTCAGGACAAGCTGCCGGCAGTGCTGGCTCGAACAAAGTTTATACTGGTCCCACAGCGCCCCACAGTATCTGCACGCTGGAGGGAGGAGGAAAAGAAAAAAAGTTAACAACCTGCACTGCTCCAGCTCTTCTCCTGGCAGAGGGCTTGCCATGGCACCAGGGGGCTGCCAGCTCTCATTTAAGTGGCTATCTATTGCCTTCCAGGTTTTTAATTCCTGCTTAGCTTGATCTTCTAGAATCTAGATAACTTTTAAACTTCTGGTTTTGATGTGAAAAACATAGGACTGTTTTCTCTCAGGAAAAGAGGAAAGTACTCACTAGTCCTTCCTCTAGTTCTGAATAGACAGATTTAAAAATTCTTAATGATCTTAACGCCAAGAGAAGAAGAAAGATATGCAGGTGGTAACCAAGGCAGTAGACAGATATGTTGCCTCTGGGAAAGGGGTGACATGGAACTTCCTTCCATCTACAGGCAATGGCTTGTTCAGACAGGGTGTCATTTGCAGTCCTGGTGGAATCCTTCCACAACATCAGAGGTTTTAACTCTTAAACTGAAAGCTACAGCCCAGTTTAGCTGCACCACAACACTTCCCCTTGAAACTTCTCTAGGGATGGCTGTGATGTGTCCAGAGTGTGTTCTGTTTCTACACCAAGTCAGGCCCCCTTAAGATGTATACACTAATTGCAGCAGAGGAATGAGAGGTTATGCTTGAAAAATTACTAACTCAGAGAGAAATCTGCACTGCTTCCTTAAAAAAAAAAAAGAAAAAAGGGCTAGAGACAAATTCCATCTATTTGTTGTACCTGGCAACTGATAGGAAGATGGCATATTATTTCATTTGCAGTAACTGAAGAGCAATCCCAGCCAGAAGACCAAGCTATGTTCTTAACAACTTCTACTAGAGGTCACTGAAATTCCACCAGCTACAGAAAATTTTAAAGCATGAAAATAACAAAGTGCTGTAGAGTACAGTGCCGCTACTCTCACAGTGCCTGGTAGCCTGTGTGGATATTCTGTCAAATTACTGGAGCAGAGAACTGCTGGCAGCAGGAGAACAACCTAACACTTGGGTCATTTGGCCAACCACAGTCTGAT